ATTTTAAAAATAAGTGACCGTTCTGTTCACCAAAGCCTTTTAATTTTTTTTTTTTCATAATGGGCTCGTCTTAGACAAGCCTGCAGGCTCGTCTCACGAGCCGCTCGTGAATAGTGACGAGCCGAGCTCGGCTCGTCTAGCCCACCAGCCCGCTCGGCTCGTGCTCGAGCTCGTTTTTTTACGAGCCCGAGAGGCTCGTGGGCGTGAACAGTACGAGCCGAGCGAGCGAGCCGACGAGCCGCTCGGCTCATTTGACACCACTATCTAGGGCATAACACTTACACGATCTACACAACTAGGTTGTCTTCTTGGAATGCTTCCTTGTCTTATTACCTGGCGTTTGTGGGTGCGGCGGTGTCGAGCTCGAATGGAGGGAAAGTATGAAACAGTTGAGGAAGCAGTCACCTCTATAAAATTCTAGTTGCAACAGATGGCCTATTCCATCAAAAATGTTAGAGCCCTTTCTTCTCATGATGCTAGAATTTTGTCTGATTTGGACATTCCATATGTGATGCCGCGGCAAAGGCAAAGTCGTATGATCACTTGGAGGAGACCGAGAGCGGGTAGGGTCAAACTTAATGTAGATGGCTGTAGCTTTGGGAACCCTAGCCCATCTGGGTGTGGGGGTGTTATTAGAGATGAGTTTGGGAAAGTTATGGCTGGTTTTACATCTCAGTTAGGGAGGCTACTAATACATAAGCAGAGTTGAGGGCAATTATAGAAGGTATGAAGGTATGCAAACAAATTGGGGCTTGTGTTGTTGAAATTGAATGTGATTCTCTAATTATTGTTAATTGGCTAATAAATCGTAAGTGCNGAGTTGAGGGCTATTATTGAAGGTTTGAAGGTTTGCCAACAACTTGGGACTGGTGTTGTTGAAATTGAATGTGACTCTCTAATTATTGTTAATTGGCTAATAACTCGTAAGTGCACAGTGTGGTATCTGTTGGATTTTTGGGAAGAATTATTGGTTTTGACTCATCCTTTTGAGGTTCATGTAATACATGAGTACAAAGAAGGTAATCAAGTGGCAGATACATTAGCAAAAATAGGTGCAAAAGGGCATACACAGAGGTTTTACTCGCATATGGAGCTACCCAGAGTTGCTCGTGGTCTTGTTCGGTTAGATCGAATTGGAGTAACTTACTTTCGTAATTGATTTATTTGTGATATTTTGGTGGGTTGTTAGGCTTGGTTTTTTGTTTTATTAGTCATGTTTAACTTGTTTAGCGATAAAGATAGCAGATCTTATTTGATTTTTGGTGTAGTGTCTATGATCGAGTATGTAACCACGGTATTCCTCCGCCACAAGTGAGGTTCCATTGGATTGGTTTGGACTAAAAAAAAAAGATCTTTACATATCGAGATTTCAATATCAAAGGTCTAAAAAGGTACAAAGAGGAGACTGAAATGATAGCCATTGCTCAAATAATTATATAGTTGTAAGGAGGGCGGCTCCCTCTTTCGCATGGCTATTGTACCCAAAGGGACTTCATAGGAGCCAATCTTGGTATTTTTTTCATATCTAGTATTTACATGTACAAGTATCAAGGAGGATTTTGTTATTAGTTAGGCGAAACTAGAATTTGGTTTTCGTGAAATTGAGGTTTAACAATTACTTGGTGAATGTGAGATTGACTCAATTACACGAAGTTAATAAAATTGGTACAGGCAACTCTAGCAATTCGTGTGTTAAAAACTATGCAATGGTAAAGAGGCCCTTCGAAAGTTTACAAGTCAAATTTACTTTTACCTAAAAGTTTTATTTCAAATTCGTTGAAATTAAATTTAATTATTGCAGTAAAAAGTTATTCATCGCCTTCATAAGTTCCACCTTCCTCTCCATTTAGATTGGCTCTCAGAGAATCTCTAATGTTAATGTGAATTGCACTAAAAAGTGATAGAAAATATAAAAAGGTTTATCGATCCAAAACATTATCAAACCCAAAAATTCACAAACCCTTTTCCCACATACAAATCATCCACGTTGAAA